TAGCTCATATCTTAACCTAGGTTACCTACCGGTTTCCTTAATTAAGAAAAATCCTATAAATCAACTAACCCTGAAATCTGCAAAAATATATAATTTTGCGGAAAATAAATGCTTACTTATTACACCCTATTACTCTACATCTTAGATTTTGGTATCACTAATTCCAAAACAAGGTTTGTTTTTCTTCATAATCTCACGAAAGCCAAGATGCGGAAACGGTTGTGAGGATTGTGATATCTCACGAAACCATCGTGACGGAAAAAATTATATAAAGACATAACAAACTCACAAGTCACCACCCCTGAAAACATACAATTCAATGACACGTATAAGAAAAAATATCAAAATAAATAAATATGATGTTTATATGGTTTGTTGAATTAAATGAAATTGTTGAAAAATAATATGAAATTTTAATATGGAGTTTATTTTTCGAGAATTAACAGGTAAGGAGAAGAAGAAATAGCTCAGAAAATGGGGATGACGTCGATGAGATCTACCAAACTGAACTTGTTCAGTTGTTTTCCGAAGAAGACGAGGTATATAATTACATCTCTTTATTATTTTTATATAAAGCTGAAACTTAAATATTGATATATTATTCGGATTCTATATAACTAGCCATATTAAAACTCTTTTTCTTATATAAACTCGAAATAAGGACCTATTATTTGGTGCATTTATTTGACTTTATTGATATCATCATCAGTATCACTATTACGAATTCCTTTTTCGTAAGCTTTAATTAAGGGCAGGAAATTAAATAAACATAGCACATAGAGATAGTGGTTTTATTGCTAGCCTAAATTGCACAACACCCACTTCCTAAATCCTAATGAAGATGGTCAAATTTAGACTACTTTTTTCTTCCACTAAAAGTTATAAATGTTTGATATTAAGTATTTGGATGCTTTTGTTAATGGTACTTTAGGTTAAGGTGTTTTTCGCAAGATTGGATGAAGAACTAAACAAAGTGAATCAGTTTCACAAGGCCAAAGAAACAGAGTTTTTGGGAAGAGGAGAGATTCTGAAGAAACAGTTAGAGATACTTGCAGAACTCAAACAGATCTTAAGTGATCGGAAGAAGAGAAACTTGTCTGGCTCGAATTCACATCGCTCCTTCTCATCTTCTGCTCGAAACTCTGATTTCTCTGCAGGTTAGTCTTCTTCTTATCAATGCTTTTAATACAAGTTAGGTCAGATTGAGGGTCTTTTAGTAAATTATACATTTTGACATAGACTCTTAAAAGCTAACCATAAAAATATATCTGAGATATGACGTGGCCTGCACCCATTAGAAACCACAAAAGTGCATGTCCTAGAGGCTAGAGGCCGTTTACGTAGTGCGGCTAGTAAAAAGAAAAGTAGGTTATTTAATAGTTATATATAGCACAATTTACGATTTTGCGTTTTTAAAATAATTCAAGTAAAAATTCATATGTTTTGATGCTATCACACACAATAGAAATTCTACTACTGAAATGACAAGATTTGTTAAGCTTACAAATCTTTTGCATGTGGATGCAAAACTCGAAGCTGCATATATTTGAAAGAAAGAATTTTAGATTTTAGAGATTTTATTATATCAACATATATATTCAATGGCCGACAAGAACATGAGAACACAAATCGATTCTACTAACAAACAAACAAAATGTTTGTGAGTATGAAAATAAAAATAGACCGACAATAGATGACTAGGTCGACATATTTTTTTTTTTCTTTCTTCTCTTTTGATCTTGTGTCTTTTGTTATTAGTAACAAAATATATAATCATTTTGTAATTTCTTTTCCTATTGTTCAGGGTCTCCAGGAGACCTAAGTGAGATACAAAGTGAAACATCAAGAACAGACGAAATCATAGAGGCATTAGAGAGGAACGGTGTGAGTTTTATAAACTCTGCAACGAGGAGCAAAACAAAAGGAGGCAAACCCAAAATGTCTCTCCGCGTCGACATTCCCGACGCTGTGGCCGGAGCCGAAGGAGGCGCTGCAAGATCCATAGCCACCGCCACGTCTGTTCTGTGGGAGGAGCTCGTCAACAACCCAAGAGGTGGTGGAGGAGATTTCATCAACCGGAAAAAGATTCAATGCGCTGAGAAGATGATACGAAGTGCTTTTGTTGAGCTCTATAGAGGTCTTGGCTTGTTAAAGACTTATAGGTAACTTTGTTTCTTTTTTTGGTTTGTTTTTATCATAAATTTTATTTAGTGATTATCCTATGATTTCTAATTCTTGATTTGCTTTCTTTTGGCAGCTCGTTGAATATGATAGCTTTTACAAAAATAATGAAGAAATTCGATAAGGTAAAGTGGCTATAGATAATACTTTCGGTGATAAACCAATGAAAAAGATAATCATAGTGGTTAATGATGAATCTTTGATATATGAATCATCAGGTTGCTGGTCAGAATGCATCATCAACGTATCTCAAAGTCGTAAAGAGATCGCAATTTATCAGCTCTGATAAGGTAATAATAAATAACTATATTAAGTTGTCTAATGCTATGAATAAAAAGATTAAAAAAGATTGATGGTTGATTAAAATAAAAAGGTGGTAAGACTGATGGACGAAGTGGAGTCCATATTCACAAAGCACTTTGCCAACAACGACAGGAAAAAGGCCATGAAATTCTTAAAACCCCACCAGACCAAAGATTCTCACATGGTCACTTTCTTTGTTGGTACTTATTTTACTTTCTCTATTTTAACCCTTTTATGGTTTTATTATTTATTTTCAAGAAAGTAATTCACCAAGAAGTTTAACAAATTGAAATTCTGCAGGATTATTTACGGGTTGCTTCATCTCGTTGTTTAGTATTTACATAATACTAGCACATCTTTCTGGAATCTTTACTTCTAGTGCACAAGTCTCTTATATGGAGACTGTTTATCCTGTCTTCAGGTATATATAATTCTTTTTTTTTTGGTGCACCTAGGTATATAGAATTCATAAATCAATAATGGTTAACGAATAATTTTATTATTTGCAACATATATATATAGAGGTGAATAAAATAGTAAAAAGATGTTTATTAATTGTTCTGATAATTTTGTTTTTTTTTTCTTTGGAAAACGCAGCGTTTTTGCGTTGTTGAGTCTACACATGTTCATGTACGGATGCAATCTGTTCATGTGGAAGAACACAAGGATAAACTACACCTTTATATTCGAGTTTGCACCAAACACTGCGTTGCGTTACCGAGACGCGTTTCTGATGGGAACCACGTTCATGACCTCAGTCGTGGCAGCTATGGTCATCCACCTCCTCCTCCGAGCCGGAGGTTTCTCAGCCAGTCAAGTCGATACCATCCCAGGCATCCTTCTCCTGGTAAATCAAGCTACTTAGTTTAACAAATCATATGGCACGTTTCAACTACAATCGCAGTTTCAAAACGCTGATTTTTGTTTTTGTTTTTGTTGTGCATGCGACAGATCTTCATTTGTGTATTGATTTGCCCCTTTGACACATTCTACCGTCCAACAAGATTTTGCTTCATTCGAATCTTGAGGAACATTGTGTGCTCACCTTTCTACAAGGTACTAATTAATATGTTTATATTGGAATGATATGGTTACTTTCAGCACAAGCAATCCGCAGAAAGTGATTTTGTTTTTATGGGTGTTGTACGGAATAGGTTTTGATGGTTGATTTCTTCATGGCCGATCAACTTACTAGCCAGGTAATTTAACTTCTACAACTTCAAATAGATGGTAGCGACATATAATTTAGACGATAATTAACCCGTTAATCGTGTTCTATTCAGATTCCATTGCTGAGACACCTTGAGTCAACTGGGTGTTACTTCTTGGCTCAAAGCTTCAAAACACACGAATACAATACCTGCAAAAACGGAAGAATCTATAGAGAACTTGCTTACTTAATTTCTTTCTCACCCTACTTCTGGCGTGCCATGCAAGTAAGCTCACTTAGGTTTTCTATGTTTCTTTTTTTTTTATTAAGACCCTTAAAACCTTTCTGCTAACACACTATGAACCTTAATTTACAGTGTATAAGGAGATGGTGGGACGAATCAAACCCTGATCACCTAATCAACATGGGAAAATACGTGTCAGCGATGGTTGCTGCCGGAGTCCGCATAACCTACGCGAGAGAAACCACCGACTTGTGGTTAACCGTGGTGCTCGTGAGCTCTGTTGTGGCCACCATTTACCAGTTATACTGGGACTTTGTCAAGGATTGGGGTCTTCTAAACCCTAAATCCAAAAATCCATGGCTAAGGGACAATTTGGTTCTCCGGAACAAGAACTTCTACTATTTCTCCATTGTAAGCCAATCACATAATTATAACGTGTTTCACAAGTTAATTATGATTTCGACTAAATGCTGGGTTGTTATTCAGGCGTTGAATTTGGTGTTGCGAGTCGCTTGGATCGAGACAATAATGAGATTCAGAGTCAGCCCTGTTCAGTCTCATTTGCTAGATTTCTTGTTGGCGTCGCTTGAAGTCATTCGTCGAGGCCACTGGAACTTTTACAGGTAAAAAAGAACTCTTCACCTAGGTTTAGAGATTTGTCTATAGGTTAAGACTTGATTTTGGATATTATTAAATATGAATCTTTCTTTTGGTAATAACAGAGTGGAGAATGAGCATTTGAACAATGTCGGCCAATTTAGGGCAGTGAAGACCGTACCACTACCGTTCCGTGACATGGACTCAGACGGTTAAACAAAGAGAAGGTTATATAATTTGGAGGGTTTAAGTCTCGAACCAAGTTTCAAGGATTTAGAGGAAGCATTTCGGAATTTGCATCGATATAGTCATATCGGGGAAAACCTTTGGGAAACTTTCGAAATTGCCTAACCATTTATTCATAAAAATATGAAATATGGGACTAATGGATTCTAGAACTGTTAAACGCTCCAAAGTGCAAAACCAACAAGACAATTCAACTTCCCAGTTCATATATATATATATTGATTTCTGTAAATTTTGATTTGATTTTATGTTCAATAAGCTTCTTTCTTTTGTCACTATCTGCTCAATTTTTTTACTTCTATTTTTCTGTCGTAGTCGAATCTTTTTCCTTATATATATCAATTTACAGAGGCGAAAGAAAGTGTAGAAGGTTAACCTAACTATAGTTTGCTCGTTGAATACGAAGATGTCCAATCTTCTAAGGGATTTTTCGGATCTTCCAAGGGATATGGCGGAGGAGGTGACATCTCTAAGAAGACTCCGATCTACTTGCAAATAGTGGAACACTTAAACTAGATGTAGGAGCTTTGCAAAGAAGCACCTTGGTCGTCAAGCAAAAGTAGCTGCAAAGAAAAGAGAGTTTACGGTGGTCATGATGATGGGTTTTAGGGTTTATTTGATGCGCATAAATCTTCACAACAACGTTGAATTATTCATGAAACGTGAAGGTAAACTTATTTTCCCCGACGCTTCATATCAAATCTATGTACGGCAAGTCTTTCACTGCGACGGTTTATTGTTATGCATCCTGAAAGACAACCCTAGGCTTGTGGTTTGGAACCCGTATTGTGGGCAAACCCGGTGGATCGAGACATCAAATAATTCTCACAGATTAGATGCGTATTCGATGCAGTGCCGGCTTAGCTAGGGGGGGGGCAGACACTGCAACACCAGGAGTCCACACATCAAGGGGACCCACAATTTTTTTTGTTTGTAAGCATTAACAGACAAAAATAATAATCTGCCGTAGGAATTATTTTTTTAAATCAAAAGGGCCCATAATTTTTGTATTTTTTTGTAAACATAACGACAAGTTTTCTCTTTCTTTTTACTGGGCCAAAATTGGATCTTAATTTTCTTTAACCCAACCATTCTAAATTTTTAATTGATTTATTGGTTATGACTAATTCTTTTTTTGTTTCTGTTACAAAGAAAGGATTTAACACACATCAAAAATCATTCTACGAAACTTTTCACCTTCCCACCCCACCACATCTCTGAGTCTGTCTCTCGAGTCTCTTTCCCAGCAAAATCATGGATCAACACACAACAATGAATGATTTTGTTTTCGATTTTATACAATAGTCAATTCAGTTCAAGTTCTCTAGATCTGTAATCTATTTATGTAAGTTTTCATGTTCTGTTTGAGTTTTGTTCTGTTTTTTTCTAAACTAATATTTCATAGTCTTAAATTGAAACTCACTAATCACTAACAACTGGTCACTAATATTTTTCAGGTTTACATTGTTCATTTGGCATTCAGATAATCACGTTGGTTTTTTTTTTTTTTTCTCGAAACGTTTTTTTTTAATATAATAGGGGCCCTGTTTTTGATTTTGCCCCGGGGCCTATCAAATGCTCGAGCCGGCGCTGATTCGATGACGCCCCCACTGTTGTTGAGTTCAAAATCTACGACTTTAACTCTGATTCATGGAGGGTTATTAATCTTGATTTCACTCGAGACTGAAACATAGGTTATTATAGCCATTTCGTGACTGGTGTCTCTTAAAGGAAATACATATTGGTTTGCTGAAGAGGCGTATTCAGAAACCCCAAGCCAAGGAGACCATATTGGTTTCTTACTCTGTTTTGATTTCACAAGAGAGACATTTAGGCCGCGTTTGCCTCTGCCGGTTGAGTCGTATCTTGAAGATACTCTGTTATTATCTAGTGTTAGAGATGAGCAGCTTGCGGTGTTATTTCAGCATATGGATACATTACAGATGGAGATCTGGGTGACAACTAAGATTGAGCCCAACACGGTGTCGTGGAGCAGCAAGTTCTTCTTATCAGTTGATATGAGAGAACTCACCGGCATTTACTCTATGTTTTCGTTTATGGCTGCAAGTTTCTTCACTGATGAGGAGAAGAAAGTTGCAGTGGTTTTTGATAAAGGAAAAAAGAGGAAGATGATGCGCAATGCAGCTTACATTGTTGGAGAGGATGGATCCTTGAAAGAAGTGGATCTTGGAGAATCTCCAAACAAAAATCTCCGACCACTTGTGTGCTCTTATGTTCCAAGTTCAGTGCAACTTGAATAGTCCATTTTATTAGGTGAACAAATATAACGTTTCCAAAGACATGGATTTTATTAGTATCCCGGTTTTATTATAATTTTATCGGTCTACAATATAGTAGATGTGATTCAATCCCTATACATGATCAATACGACGAGTCTTTGACTATGAATTATATCATGTTGGTTACACATAAATGTAACTTTACAACTAAAAAATATACGTTATTTTACCTCAATGAGATAAGCCTGCGGTCATGGACTTAGCGATGCGTGTGGAGATACAATAAGCCGTAGACATGACCGTGATCATAGGATTAACACCAACAGCACTAGGCAGCGCGCTTGCATCGCACACAAACAACTTCTCTGCTTCCCAACTCTCTCCATTCAAATCTATTGCACCTTCTTTTTCATTTTCTCCAATTCTACAGCTTCCCATCTGATGAGCTGAGCTATAAACGTTCCATTTCTCAGTCATCCCCTTTGGTCCTTCCTCTGTACTCACCGAGTCTAAAAACTCTTCGATCGAATTCTCATCGCTACCTTTGCATATCAGTCTCTGCCCGTCGCTTCTGTGAGTTCCCACTTCCTCTGCTCCAGCTGCTATTAGTATCTTCAACGACTGTCTTAGCCCGGCTTTGAGATTATCTCTGTCGGTTTTGTCCACCGCGTAGCTTATTCTGCCTTCGGTTTTCACTTCTCCTGACCCGCGGTCTCTAACTATCGTTATGAGACTCGCGGTTCTTGAGTATCTAGCCATTCTTTTCTTCATGTCAAGCCCTGAGGTCCAAGGACATAGCACCGAGAATGAACCTGGTCCTAGAGCTGGTGTCTCAATGATGGCTCTGACTTCTGAATCTTCTGATAACACTTTGCTCACTGATGTTATGATCCCGCCTTCGTATGACTTTCCCTTGAAATTGGAAGATTCCTTCATCGGGAAGTAACCCCACGCCATTAAAACAGGGTGTAAGTGAAGGTTTTTACCAATGTGTCGGTTTCTCAACCCGCTTGAGATCATCAAAGGAGGTGTTAAAAGAGCACCCCCTGCTGAAACCGTTACTTTAGCTTCGATCTTTAGCGTCTTTGCTATGTTTCCGTTTAAAGATTTAGCCATCACTCCCAAACATTTCATTTTCTTGCCTCCTTCGTTACCACTGTTCTTTTCGAGTATAAATCTCTCCGCTTTACATCCCGTTAGAATCACAGCGCCTTGACTAACCGCGTCAACAAGCCAAGTCCGGTCGCTTCCTTTCTTGTCTCCTTGTATACATCCATACCCGCAAGATCCACAGTAATGACTCTCAGAGGAGTTTCTTGGCACGTTTTCGACATTAACCCCGAGATTTTGGCAACCTTTTCTCAGAACCTGATTCTGGAAACTCTCCATTTCACATTTATCCGTGACACCCATCCTCTCCCATACAACTTCCATAGCCGAAACATATTCTTTCGTAGCGAAAAGAGGTATGTTTTGATCCTCTGACCATTCTTGAAGTACCGATTTGGGCGTTTTGATACACGCAGACCAGTTCACAGCAGATCCACCGCCTACAGTTGCTCCAGCCAACACCATAAGATTCCCATCAACGCTCGGGAGAATCCCTCCATTTTCGTACAGTTTGTCCAAGCCAGGACCTTCGAAAGGACGATAATCGGAAGGCGTAAAGTAGCTTCCTTTTTCAAGAACAACCACTTTTAAACCAGATTTCGCTAGAACAGAAGCCGCCACACCTCCTCCTGAACCAGACCCTACCACCACAGCATCACATTTGATTCTGATCGCATCATGGACCGTGTCAAGGTCCGCTTCTAGGCCTTTCTGAGCAAGTAATTCAAGAAGAGTCTGCTCTGTTTCTTCCATCGTCTCCACTATCCCTTTCTCAAGAGGTCTTTCCTTACGAGTTTCAGAAGGTTTGTTCTCATCGAGGTTAACATGATACCCTATGGCTTCCCATGCCGGGTTTTCGCCATCTGGAGTCACCTACACAAAAGAAACGACATATCCATAAAATCTTGAACATTTCTATAAGTTGCTCTGTTTTTAACTTTTTACAATAGAATTAAAAATACTAATTCACGATTTTCAAAACTTTGGATCGGTTTAGTATAACCAAATTGAAAAATGATTTAGTTAAATCGCTTGCTAGTTGCTACACACTTAAGTAAGATCCAGGTTTTTCATAATGGGATCAATTTTTGATGTATAGTAAATTAGTAAATTATACTCCCTCCGTTCCTAAAAGATTGATGTTATAGCTTTTGTTATTTGTCCCACAAAGATTGATTTTCTAGATTTTTTCTTTATTTTTATTGATTTATATTAATAAATCGTAAACTTCAAGGTGTAATGATTGAAAATAATTAACTTTCTTAGAATACTATTGGTTGATATTTATTTTAAAATATGTAATATCAAAATTAATGTTCAAATGATTAAACAATGATTGAATTCTTAATATGTGTGAAAACCTCAAAACATCAAACAATTAGGAACAGAGGGAGTAGTTATAAAATCTCATATGAATACGTTTGGTACGATTTCAGGTATAAGATTTTCTAAGTTTAGTATATATGAATTTGGATGATTTTTTCCTTATAAATATTCCTTAATTTTGAAAACAAAAAAATGATATGAATACGTTTGGTACGTTTTCAGGATTAAGATTTTCTAATTTTAGTATATATGAATTTGGATGATTTTTTCCTTATAAGTATTTCATTAATTTTGACAACAAAAAAAATAATACGTTTATCTAGTTTTTTGGCTATATTTGAATTCAAATTTTGGATATATATAGAAAGAAAGTAAATGAATCTAAACCACGCGATTCGGTTTTGAATTATTTGGATGGATTTTGGACTGGTGTGTTGAACAACATAATCTATGTGGTTGAGAGAAGGCCTGAAGTACAAAAACAGAGGATTTGAGACATACCCGGGAGAAGAAACAGAAGAGGAATGCAACTTTGATGTAGACAAAAGCAGCTCTAATTGGAGTCAAAAACCAATTTCTGAATTGTTTCTGAAGTACTCTTTCTCTCTTCTCCAACGAGAGCTCACTGAATTTCTCAACAAAAGGCCATCTCGAGACCAAACATTCGGTTCCACAAATGAGTAAGGTACCAAGCCGAGTCGCAAGCAAGAACAATATAAGCCTAGTAGCAAGATAAGCTTCTATTGTCCCTCGTTTAGTGATCAGCTCAATGCTCTGCATCCATTAGCAAATCTTTCACTTTTTTACTCAAAACCTACGGTTTTTTTAATAGTAACAGCGATTAATCTTAGGCCAAAACCTAGACTAATAATATTCACGTTGAAGAAAAAAAAAGACTAGATATTTTTGTTATTTAAAAGGTCTATAGAGGTCAACAGAGAGAACCACAAGGATTTTATTGGAACTTGATCAAAATGAATCCCTTGAATAATCAAACAAATCAAAACGAATCTTCTAATATTAGGTCACACGTTCTTGATTTGTGTTTAAAAAAACAAAGAAGTCAAAACTTTAGCATTTGAAGAGAAAAAAAACAGATCACTGGATCAATATAAAGATAAAGAGTGTGCACCTGGCGTAGGACAGGAGTTTGAGACCCAGAAGTTGAGTAAAATGACCGGAGAGCCTCTTTGTTCCGGTGGTTATCACCTTCGCTGGAAACTTCTTCCGGCGGCAGCACAGGAGGCAAGACAGCTTCACAAAAGCTAGCTAAAGATTCCATCTCTGCCTCCGTGATGTCCCGGAGGCCAAATTTTCCGGCGACTTTGTACTTACCCATCACACAATTCGCTTTAATACGATAAAAAAAAAAAAAAAAAAAAAAACAAAACTGGGAAAGTTCTTAAGAGTGTTTCAAATCACAAACTCCGTTAGGATATATATAGACATTACGTTACAGCTGTCTGAATTACATAAAAATAGATATATAAAACAAAATTGCTAAGAGAACCCCCAAAACTTGTTTTTAACTCCTTTTGATGATTAGAATTTTTTATTTGTCGTTTTAGTAGTATGTAGATTTATGTATTTTTCTAGTATATGACATTTGTCTTATTAGTAGTTATGATGATGATTGACAATTTAAATGTATATGAAAAATTGGACCAATTTTGAATGTTTTGTAAATGGTGCATATCTACCCACGTTGTTGTTTCTTTCAAATTCTACCTGTACGCCGAATTTTATTGGTATATTATGATGTATTTTGGATATCTTTCTTAAGTACAATTTAAGATGATGGTTATTTCTTTAGGGTCCCCATGTTTAGAGTCCCTAAGATGGTGGTTAAAACACTTAAAAGTGAAAAATATAGGGACTAGTATGCAATTAGTAGAGACTAGTAAGGGGGAAGTCTTTTTCAGTTTTCTAGACTGCAACATGTGAAAACTACAGGCAACTAAAAACGATTAGTAATTAATTATTAAGTAATGATTGAAGAAATATAACAAAAGCACAAAAGAAGAAAATTGTCAGACAAGTTCTCATAGTTATGGAAAAAAAATCACGTGCGATACTCTCTCTTTTTGTGTGGGTGTTTGACAACTGCGATGCTCTAAAGACCACAATTTAAAACTTGTGATAGCCAACTTGTGAGTTAATGCAAAAGCCCCATAACGTTTTTCACAATCTAGCTTTTCTTATTCGGCATACGTGTATTCGATTTCTTCTCACAAATTTTATAATACTATATGAAGAAATACACTTTTGTATAAATATACCTAAACCTAAAAACTAATAAAACATCGCGATCGGTTTACACGTATATATTAAAACATACTTTTATTTCTTTGGAGAGGTCATGCTTGTGCCACTAGACCAAATGCTTTTTGGTTTATGAGTTTTTTGTTTGTTAATGAAAGGTATATCAGTAACTTTTAATTTGTACCCCTTCTGTTTCAATTTTAAGTGATGTTTATTGTTTAAGATTTTTGTACACATATTAAGAAATCATTAAAATCTCATTTAATTTACCTAATTTACATAAAAATATTATTAACCACAAGTTTACAACTAATTCAACCAAT